TATGACTATTATTATTCCTATTCACTTTATACAGTTGAGTAACTACATGGTAAAGGCCATATGCTTGGGAATAAGAACACAGGGAAAAGAATGCAGTCCTGACCCTGGCTGGCTTAGCTCAGTGGTTAGAGTGTCAGCCTGAGGCCCAGAGAGTCCCAGGTTCGATTCCTGGTCAAGGGCATGTACTTGGATGCAGGTTTGGTCCCCAAGCTTTTCTTAGGAGGCAACCAATGTAGGAGTCTCTCTCACGTCGATGTTTCTCTCTCTCTCTCACCCCTTCCTTTCTACTCTCTAGGAAACAATGAAAAAATATCCCTGGTTGAGGATTAACAACAAAAAAGGCCCGCCCATGTGTCTCAGTAGGTGAGTGTCCTCAGGGCACATGCCTGGTGCAGGCCATCATGATCCTCTCATCATTGATGTTTCTCTCTCCTTCTTCCTTTCTCTGAAATCAATAAAAATATATGTATGTTTAAAAGACTCAACAACAAAGACTCAACCAATGAACACATGAATAAGTGGAACAACAAATCAATGTTTCTCTCTCTTCCTCCCTTCCTCTCTAAAATCAATTAAAAAAAACTGGAGAAAATTAGATCATGTGCCTCTGGGGTTGTGTGGATAAATGAGACAATGCCTGCAAGGCACAGGGCACTGCATACAGTAGGCACCAATTGTGATGATTATAACCCCCAGTACTGATCCTGAGTGAAATAATAACTGGGAAACATGAATGGGAGGGGAGAACACAAAGAAGTTGGAGAGGGAGGGCTGTAGCAATGAGGAGCAGTGGAGTTCAATGTTTCAAAAATGATGAGCCAGAGCATTTGAGATCTTGCTTCCTGGCAATTGTCATCAGTTTGGCTCAAATAAACTCACAAAAAAACAACAACAAAAAAAACACTCTCTCTCAGAAAAAAGAAAAGAATGATGATAATGATATTAATAATACTATTTATTAAACGCTGAAACTATGTGCCAGCACTTTGCACACATTAACTCGTTCTCACAACCCTGAGAGGTAAGGGTTAGGAACCTGAAGCAGAGTGGTTTAATTTGTCTCCAGCAGTGGGGATTCAAACGCAGGTCACCTGGCTAAAGCTAAGCCACCACTGAACCTGATTAGCTGTGACCTGGTGCCTGCTATAATTGGGTTGTGTACAAAGAACTATGGAAGCTAGCTCACAGCCAATGAGGGCAGGTATCAGAGGAAGGGGGGATGGTATCTGAGCTGGATCTTGGTATCTTGGAGATGATATCTGAACTGGGTTGAAGAATTTGCCAGACTTATTAGAGGAGGAAGGGCATTCC